TGTCCGGCCGCGCCTGGGGGCTCGGTCGGGGCTTTGAGGTGCGCGGGCGAAAAAAACGGCACAGGGCGGAAAGGGGAGAGCATGCGAGGGCAGGGGAGGGCGTCACCTCCCCTCGGCCACTCGGAGGTTCGTAAGCGGTGAGGTATTTTGGCGGGGGTGCTTCCTTCTCTGTCTCTTCGGACGCGCTCAGGAAAGAAATGCCCCCGGCAGGGCTGTCCCTCCGCCCTTCTGTCGCGTTACCTTGCTCCTGTCTGCCTGGTCTTGCCCGAAAGCAGCTGCGTGGTGTGCTCAGGCCGGGCTGCGGACCTCCGCTGCTTCCCAGCCCCTCATTCCCTTCACTTCAGCCGGTCTGCAGCCTCTGCACTTCCAAAATACCATTAGGCAACTGCAAGGGACGTTGCTAGGTAACTGAACCCTCTGAAATCATTCCTTATCTCCCTGTGCTAATGCTGCCTACCTTTTTAACATCTGTGACGTTTCTCTCTTGGTATCTTTCCTTAGAAAAATCTATTCAATATGAAGAGAGATTATAGATTTAAAAGGTGTTTTACATTACAATGTAACTGAAGAATAGCATTTTGCAAACAGCGGGTAGTTAACGGAGCTTTGCAGCTAATAGGTAGAGGTTTTATTATTTTTTTTTTTTAAGTGGGGTGCAGGTATATGCAAACAGGAACTGGTCCATTCTGAGGGCCACTGATGTTTCTGTAAATGGAGGTCACTGCACGTGCTGCTCTTGACATCTTCCCGTATCTCCTCCCTCCCCATGGTTCTCAGTCCTTTCTCCAGTCTGTCCACGGGTTCAGTCCAAACGGTAGCCTTGCCTCTTCATGGCTATAGAGCGGTGTATTTGCTTCCTGCCTCCCCTTTCTTTCAATTACCCCCGCAGGGGTGTGTGCTTTCCTCCTCTCTTTTTAGTTATTTTTCTCTGGATGATTGGTCATTCAGGAAATACTGGGGTTTGTACTTGTTCAAGAAGCTCCCATGTCCCGCGTGGCTCCAGGTCATAGTTTCTCATTCCCACCCCATCCCACAGGTTGCTGCCCCCTTCAAATAAAATTTACAAGCAATGCGGTGAATGGTATCTCCTTGAGCTAGCTTCATTACAGAAGAAAGGGCAGAAGTGAGGTGAGCACATTTGACATTAATAAACTATAACAACAACAAAGACTATGGAAATTGCAAATTTTGAAAAAATAGAGGTATCTGTCTTCTCATTTCCTCCCCCCAATTTTCTTAGGAGTTCTCTCCACCCATGTCCAGGGCATGCCTTAAAATGCTGAAATATATCAAGTGAAGTTTTAAAAATGTCTCATATTGCAGATAATGCAGTATGATTGAGTTGAATGTAAGACTTCATTTTGCTTGGCAAACTCTAGAGCCTGTATATTACTTAGGTGTATATGTATGCATGAGGTGCTACACCTTTTCATACTGACATGTTCATTGAGTCGTTTCACTCTTCCTTAGGCTGGTTTGAAAGGAAAATTTCAAAGAGGGAGAAGGTGGAAGGTACTGTAATTTCACGGAAGTCAATCACACCTCTCCTATTAACACTGGTGTACGCAGTGTTTGCTTTAACAAATGTGACTGGTTTGGCCACATTGTAGTGGCTGTTCGACATTACAGAGACATTTACATACCACATGTACAAGCAGTTGTTTTGCTGTTTTTGTTTTTACTCAGGGATAGATAAGCAATCTCTGGCAGTTCAGAGTAAGGGAACGTGCCCCTCCAAGGGGCTGCCCTGCATGTGCAGCAGTAGTGAATGCACATCCGCTGCTGCTGTGCAGCACTCCTTTGTGCAACGAACTGCCTCTGGGTGGCTACGTAGAGGGAAAAGCCATTCTCTTGCTCTGGGTCAGAAGCGGGGAGCAGGCCTGGTGCTCTCTCTCATTTGCAGGGCGCGCAGATCTGCTTGACCGCGGTCCCTTTCTATATAAATGTGCTACTTCTCTGGGAGACTCCCCTCTGCTACTGAGAAAGCCCAGCAGTGATGGGGGGACACACTGGTATCACAGTAACATGGCAGTGAGATTCACATCACTTACCTTCTGGCATGCATGGCTGGGAACAAATGAGAGGGAAATTAAATTTTTAGTGATTTAATTTAAAAGGAAATAAATCAATTTGGTCTTCACATCAGCATAGACAAAAGAATGAGATCTTTCCCTGCTTAGGAGGGGCTAGCCATATTCGACATAAAGACTGTTTCCCGTGTTACTTCCAAAAGGTGCAGGGCAAAAGCAGGGTAGCAGGCCCTTAATCCTTTTACTCATCACTAGGTAGGTCTTCGTGAGCTACCTGGCTGGGCTCCCTCACCCCTGAGCCCTCTGGAGAGCACTCCAGAACATGTGCCTGCCAAAAAGCCCACTTGCAGATCAGCTATGGCTCTCAACTCCCTTCGTTTCCATACGCAGGAGTCTGAGAACACAGGTTTTGAAAGGAGAAAGCTGGCACAGAGTTAAGGTAGAAGGTAGAATGCTACAGCTGTTGTGAGGCTGTGCAATTTGGCAAGTCATCGACTACACACATAACATTTAAATATTTAATTGGATACCTAATAAATATCTGCGGTAAAACTATGATTTCCTTCTGTAAGCAGCTTTCTACATGCTAATGGCTGACAAGCAGCTTTACCACATCAAATTCTACATACTTCCATTCATAACTATTTTGTTTTCTTAACATTTTGTTCAATTGTGAATTGTCTTATCTTGATTCTGTTTATGCCGTTACTTTTTTGGATCCTCAGCAAGACCATGAAAGCATGGACTAATGAGTAATTTCCATAGGTTTTGACTGAAAGCTACTTTTGTTTCTCTTGTGTGGTCAAACAGACAACCAGATTAAATGTAATACCTTATTTGCTTAATATTATTTATAAAAAATCCCACTTTTGACTGTTCAGGTTCAGTGGGACCATTCTTCTCTGAAGAACCTATTGCCCACTCTGTGTCAGCTTGTGAACCCACAAACTGTAGTTGCAGGTGTACCGGACCAGATCAAGTACGAGCGTTATCCATGCCAACCCTAATTCTTAGAGAAGAACAAAGGCCGTTAGGAAAGTGGACAGAGTTTCAATTTACCACCACCGATTTGCCCGCCTGACTTGGGACAGGACACGCTAATTTGGTGCTGTGATGCCCTGGAACAATCAGAACCATATATAGACCTATACAACTAATTTTTTTACTGTCATCTGCCTGATCACTGCATGAGATGAAGCAGATTATAATATAATAAAGAAGTAAGAGGGTTCTCTGTGCTGAAGTGTACCACCCCACCTTCCTTTTACCCGTAAGAACACCAGTTGGCTGAAAGTCTGACATCCTGTTATGATACGGAACTTTACTCACTGTATTTCTTGCACAAACAATAGTGGATTTGCCAAGTAATAATGCATGTTACTGATCTGTGAAGTCAGAAGTGCTGTCTGCCTTTAAACAATGTACACTCTCTACGTTGTGTTAGTAAGATCTGCTTGCAACAAATAATCAACTTAAAACAAGCCATTGTCAGCTTACAGATTAGTATTTGGTGTGTGCCAAAAACCTGAGTGAAGTTTTGAGTAGCAGAATAAAAAATGAATCACTGGATCTTGCTAAAAATGTAGCATTTTAAAGAACACTTTAAAACAATTTGAAGTAAAGGGGGTTTGTGCATTACCAAAATGAAAGAATATTAAACATCTTTGTATTTTGATTGGAAATATCGGAGAAAACATAATGAGCTATCATGCTGGAAATTCTGCAAGAAAAGCACTTCCCACAAGGCTTCTATCCCACTTACAGACCAGCCCCAAAGCCTACTTCAGAGTGCTCTGGACTACATCCCTATTTATACAGATGAAACGGTGTCAGGGACCCTTCTTGGACCCAATTATTTTACGATTTTTCCGTCTGAAGTAAGCTGAGGGCTGTGTTACAGCCCTCCAGAATGAGATTCTCCTGTCATGGAACTAAGCAAATGATGCTCATTTTCAGCGCTGTGGGACGTGGTGGGAAGGCATGCAGGAGCAGGGATGGGTTAGGAATTCTACCAGGATTCTCCTGGAGGGCTGCACTGTGGGAGGACGGAAGCCTCAGCCTTGTCCATACTGCTCTTTAGAAACAGCTCTTGGCAAGCGTTACTCTGTAAACCTTGCCCAGAGAGTTTCTCAAGGAATGCTACTTGGCACGGACATGAATCACTCTGATGAGCACGCTAATACTTAGTCAGCCTCCCATACTTGAATTTACATGCTGGCCTTGATTTATTTATAGCAACAGCCTCACAAAACCTACTTTA